GCAACAACAGCAACAACAAGCTCCACCATCTGGCACCTGCGGTAACGCGGGAGTCCAGCTGGCCGAATACAATCCGAGCACGTCCAAGGGCCACGAGATCCTTTCTCAGGTCTATCAGCAAAGCGCGATACCGCTCCGATTGGTTCCCGTGAAACCGCGGAAGTACCCGAATCGACCGAGCAAAACGCCGGTCCACGAGCGGCCCTACGCCTGTCCGGTGGACGGCTGCGACCGCAGGTTCTCTCGCAGCGACGAGCTCACCCGGCACATACGTATTCACACCGGGCAGAAGCCATTTCAGTGTCGCATCTGCATGCGCTCGTTTTCGAGGAGCGATCACCTAACCACCCACGTGCGCACGCACACGGGTGAAAAACCATTTTGCTGTGATCAGTGCGGCCGAAAGTTCGCCAGAAGCGACGAGAAGAAGCGTCACGCGAAGGTACATCTGAAGCAGAGGCTGAAGCGCGAGGCGTCTCACGCTAATCCAAGAACCCATCATCAGAGCCACGCGTCGTCACCCTGCAATCAATGAATTCCATGACAACGATGTTGAAAAAAATCCCCTTTAACGTCTGAGATCTCATTACGTTTGTCACGTTCTGACAAGTTGTGATCTATGTCTCCCCGATTCTTATTTTCCTCTATCCTCTCTCTCTCTCTCTCTCTCTCTCTCTCTCTCTCTCTCTCTCTCTCTCTCTTCTCTTTTTCGATCATCGATCATCTTTTCTTTCCTGCATCTCTCATGATGACCGATGAAGAAATTGCGGAAATCTTTAGGCGGTCAAAACTGATCCGTCGCCGACTGATCCGTTATTTATCGTCGGTCCTCCATTATTTATCGTCGATTCTTCATAATTTATCTTAAAACATAGCTGGATACAAATTAATTGAATCTCACGAACACAAGAATTCTTTGAAATTTCCGCTATTCACACACACATATCTATAAATCATAAGAATAATAATAAACAATTTGCTCATTCCAAAAATTATCATGTGAGTTGAAAAAGAAAGAATTAGATGTCGTATATGCAATTTTTATCATTCGTGAGAGAACGATTAACTTCAAGTATTTTAAGACTAAAATCATAAGAATACGGTTTTCTCATTGTACAAAAATAATATCTCTTGCGTCACAGCGAAAAATCGAAGTACTTAAAATATACTACAATCTGTGCGATCATTGAAAACGAACTCACAGTTGAATGAGAGCTATTACAATGAAATGGAAGTTAATCGTCCGATTATAAAAAAAAAATCCTGTTCTTAAAATAGAAAAATGACAGACATTATTATTCTGCTTTACATGTCTTCGTGTCTTAGCTTGTATCCAGATACGTATAAAATGTGAACTTTCTCTGTCTGTCTCTCTCTCTCTCTCTCTCTCTCTCTCTCTCTCTCTCTCTCTCTCGCTCTCCCCCTCCCTCACTCCTCGCAAGATATTTGGTGGCATCTATCTAGATGCCATTGAGTGTGGTGAGAGCATTTTCGTGCAATTGTATAACATGAAATCGATACCATCCGCAGCTTCCGGGAACTGTAGAGTGAAGCGGAAGATAGATAGAAAGAGAGCGAGAGAGAGAGAGAGAAAGAGAGAGAGAGAGACAGGGAGAGAGATTGAAAAGGAGGGAGTGATGAGAGGAGGAATAAGGGTGGGATGAGGAGGAGCAATGCGTCTCATTGCATGCAAACGACTGTGAGAGAATGTAATGCTGCGTAAAACGATGAATTATTATATATCGACTCGTTCCATGGTCAATATGAGAGAAGCGGGACTCAATATTTAAGAGCATATATCTCGTTCCCTCTACCCCACTCCACCTCCCCGTTAAAAGCGCAATTTAAAAGACTCATGCGGTTCGAATGCAATTCCCAAGAAATTCATGTTTCCATGGATGGAGCTGTATATTTGTAGGTACGTCTATCTCTCAAGGAAAGCAGGGCTGTTGACAAGGTTCGCGGCAACGGAAATAGAAATATTTTTTTATTAAGTATATATTTGTATATATAACTATTGATTCGCACACTGAATCTCTCTCTCTCTCTCTCTCTCATAAACAGAAAATGGTCAAAACAAAAAGTATTTATTTTTTAAAAAGATTTTATGGAATTGCGTTAGAAGAGATATAGATGATAAAAAGGAAGAGAAAAAAAATTCCTCTCCTCGTGTTGCGATAAAACGTTGTTGAGAAACTTAGTTTCGACGATTGTTAAATTTTTCCCGAAGCTACGTTTCCCTGCCGGTGAAATTGTGCAATATATTTTCGTGAATTTCCCCGTATAATTTTCACGGGATATTGAATTTTGATTTTGTAGCAGCGATCGCTTTTCTTTCCTCTTCCCTCTCCCCCTCCCCCCCACACTTTTTTTTAACTATCTCGTTGCTCTTACATCTACATTCTCATATTTTCTTCGTGCTCCGAACACGCTAAATCTCGGCTGTCTCCGTCAAATACTTCCAATTCTCAATCATTCTTTCGTTCCCTCCACCCTTTCCTTCCTCTTTTCTCACGTTATTGTAAAAAAATTCCACGAATAATTGTAATTAAACGTGATTATCGTTGTTGAAAGAAATATTTCATGTACATATGTATATAACTTATTATACATAATTGCTGTATGTATGTAAAATCTAACGTTCTCTTGCCATTTCCCGCCCCCTCCCCTCTCTGCTCCCGACCCCTTCTTTTCTTTTCTTCATTTCGCATTATTATCCCGTACGTGTATACATATATTTAGCAATTGTTAATGTTATGTATATGTTGCTCTATTTATTAACAAGATGACTATATCAAATGAATATATTGTTAAAGTTAAATAATTATTTTTATTATATTGTAACGACTATTCTGGCGTGCAATGCGTTGCAACAGTGAACAGAAATGACATGGTATACCCAAGCTTATACGAATTGTAAACGTAAAGTCGCATATGCATATGTACACGCACACATACACACGCACGCACACACTCATACACACACGCACACCACACACACACACACACACACACACACACACACGCCATATGCGAACGCGATGATACGCACTACATAAATTGTAAACGCAATGTAATGCAAGCGCGTCCCCAAGAAAATACTTTTTTTACAGATAGTATTATCCTATCGCTAGATAAATTATATGTAATTATTATACATATTGCGCTCTGAGTGCAATGCACATAACAAAGGCTCCCAGCTACCTGTATATTCGTGTTGTCATCATCGCTCCTGCATATGCTTCTCTTTGCAAAGCGGGTAACGCGAACAATCTTGCAACAATTATTAACAGAAATACAATTAACATTGACTCGAGGCCAAGTTGTTTTGATTATTTTCGTAACCCTTTCACAAGTTGTATACAAATTGTTAGAGAAAGAATTAAACGACCGGTGAATGCATTCCTTGAGCAATTTGAAGTCGACTTTTTCTCAGCCGAAATTTTATTATATAAATTATCTAAACTTTAAATACACAAATTTTGCTATCCCAACGTTCGCTCGAAGTTATGACCAAAATTATATTTATGTCCGCATCCTCTAAAAAAATTTATTGTTTCTTAATGCACATAATTATCGACATATCAATATTTTACTTAAAAATATAGTCGACTTTATATTGATCGAGGAACATGCCGTCGAGTTTTTAAACACTTAAACCTTTCCTCGACACTCTGTGTAACAAACACGAAATGTATACAACAAGCTCACGGGGCATTAGTCCACGCACGATCTTAAGCATTCCGATAGTATTAAGGCAAACTAACGTGAAAATCCTCAAATTCGCAACATCAAGTTGATTGATTTGGAATGAAGTTTGGATCCAATTATAAGATGTCAAATAAAAATATCATTTGTAAAACTTTGTGTCTTTAACTTGAACCATCTATAAAAAAAGGATAAAAAAGTTGAATATTCTAGTTAAAAGATAAAATATAGTTTCCCTTAATAAATAAATATCGATAAATAAATTTTTCAAGTGTTCAATTATAGAAAAATTTTTTATTACACCGTTAAATAATAAGAAGCTGAATATTCAATTTCAAAAGGTAAAACAATTTTCCCTAAAAAGAGTAAAAAACTGAATATTCTATTCAAGGGATAAAATATAGTTTCCCTTAATAAAAAATACCAATAAATAAATTTTGCAAATGTTTAGTTATAAAAGAAATTTTGATTACGCCGTTAAATAATACGTAAATAATAAGATTTTATTGTCCAGTTAATTTCAAGCAAATTTTATATAATTTTAATCGGAAGAAGAAGCAGTTGCTCATAACATTTGATATTCAAATTTGAAAGCGAGAAAATATTTAATGAAATTTTCATGAACAGAAATTATTTCGCTGTTGAGCACACGCGTCAGCACGTGCGAACATACATATATATCCACATATATGTTTCGCTAAAGAAAATGTCAGAGTCAGTTTCAGATAAAAATTTAATGGAGATTTAATTAAACCAACAAATTTAGCCACGGTCGTGATAGAATCGCGAAAGTTAAACCGTTAAGCGAGAACCACCACGCGCGTTCAAAATATTCAAATGGTTCAGCCATGAGGATGAGGAAAGGCGTTGTTCTCATTGGCGGATCCAAAAAGAATAACGTTTAAAAAAGGCTATTTTTCGCCCACTAATAGAAACGTAAAGAACACAGCAAATCTGATAGATTTCGACTTGTTGAACACGATAGTGTTATTGGTTTCCTTGAAAATGTGTGAGGAACATTATTTATTCAGATTAAAGTCCTACTTTTCAGTTAAAATAAGGACTTTAACTTGAAAAGAATATTCTCCGAATTTTCAATGCAAACTAATAGCATCATTGTGTGCAGCTGATTGAAATCTATCTAAGATTCACTGTATTTTTTAAGTTTCCATTAATAGGCAAAAAATGACCTTTTTTAACATTGTTCTTTGTCAGGAAAAGGTAATTGGTACGCCGTAAGCAACATTTTGTTTTAAGGTCAAATATTAAAAACATAATATAAAGTTATTATTTAAATAGTTACATTTGTAAAAGTATTATTTAAATGTATAATTCATAAAATGATTTATTTAAAATTATATTAATACAGAAAAAGTATATAATAAAACTTATATATTTTTATATGTAGGAGTCTCTTAAATTAAAAACTATTTTTGAAATATCAAAATTGTAATTAAACATTTCGAAAATATTAAAAATTACGTAACATTTTGCTACAAATATTTTGAAAAAAGGAGACTTCAAGGAGGGACTATGGCTCCCATGGCCTTCCTCATAGATCCGCCAGTGAAGGCGTTACCTCAATCTCTATCGTTGTTACAAAAGCATCTTTTCAGCGGAAATACATGCGACATCCGCTATCGTAACGCAGACAATTGTTTCGCGGTTTGAATCCAACGTGATCGATCTCTCGCGCTCCGGACATCTTGCACGGTTTTGGTCTCGACTCTCGGTAGCACGCCCGTAAAAAGAGAGAAAGAGAAAGAAAACGGGTGATATAGTCGCCACGTATATATAGGTATACAGGCACCTACATAAGAAAGACAGTGCGCGAGCGACAGTGGGCACGAGTGAAGCTGAGAGCACGTCTATAAATAGGACCGAGAGCGAGATGAAGCCTCCTCTGCACTTCGCGGTATACCTTCCGCTGCTCTCCGTCTCACCGCGAGAAATCCCTCCGAGTGCTCTCCTCTTTTTTTTTCCCTTCTCCTTTTCTCTCTTTCTGTATTTTGCCTGCCTTTCTCCGCGTCTCTCCCTTAACATCTCGCGCGCATCCTCTTCTTTCTTTATCTTAATAGATGTCTGTCTCGGCTTGGAGACAGTTGGGACAGTTTCACTATTTTCTTTTTTATCTTCTTTTGTCACCTTTTCTTCTCAGTAAAATCTTTCTTTCTTTCTTTCTTTCTTTTTTGTAGA